GGTAAGAGTATTGAATAGTGAGAACGTTTTTCTAACGCCTCGGTAAACTTATAGATAACGTTACTACTTCCTCCTTATTACCTTTAAGACTGGCAGAACGTTGGCATTAATCCGCAAACAACAACTCTCAAGCAGTAAGCAACTGGTCTTCATCCCATAGACTTGCGTCTGAGCCTATAGTGACTTGCCCGATCAAATTTTGGACTACGCACGCGACCCTTTACCAAACACATTTTTGTGTTTAATTCCAATACTGCTTTATTGCTATTTTGTTTGTTTACAACACCAACCGTTTAAAAAAAAAAAACAAACAAACATAAACACCACTAGATGCCTCCTCTCCGCAGATCAATGCGCTTGCTTTTGGCTGAAAATAAAGCTGGCCTAAAGCCCCCGAATACGCCGCCAAGCAAGGTTGCTAATAAAAACGTAAAGCACAAAACAGCAGAGGTAGCGTAAAGGGAGTTATACTTGGTTTCTTTACTACAAGTTGGTGTTTGTATTACTGGTGAGCTAGAATGTTCTTAATGATATTCTCAAGTCAGAAGTGTGAGATGTAGTTAACACAGTATTGGCTAATGAAGGCTGAGCCCGATTCACGGATTGTAAAGGGCGTAGATGTAAAGTTTAGCATCGACGACCTACAGGCAATGAAAGACTCAACCTCACCGTGGGATGGTGTAAGGAACTATGAAGCACGGAATATTATGCGCGACAAGATGAGAACTGGAGACAAGGCGCTGTTCTACCATTCAAATTGCAAGGAACCTGGAATAGCCGGCATAATGAACATTGTTTGTTGCGGTTACCCAGACTACACCGCATTTGATATCAACCATCCGTACTATGATCCAAAATCCGACAAAAGGTCACCAAAGTGGTATATGGTAAGACTGTGTCATTTCTTAGTGCCTTTTCCCAGTGGGCTAATGTGCGCGTATGATGTATGCTAACTCTATAATATTTAAACAATTGGGCTGTATCTGGTAGGTTGATGTCAAGTTTGAGCGCAAGTTTGGAAAAGTTCTTGCGCTCAACGACTTGAAGAAACATGCACAACTAGAAGAAATGTCTCTTATTAAACGGGGCCGACTATCAGTTCAGCCGGTAACAAAAAGCGAGTTTGACTATATAGTGTCGCTTGCTGGTGAATCTTCTCAATAGTTTTATTTATACTACTTGGATAATTATTTACTTAAGGTGGTTGCTGAGTGTGTCAGTTTGGCCGAGTAGTTAAGATGACAGATCCAGAATCTTTTAGGTATCCTCTGCATGAATTTGAATCCTCCAGATGACGCTCATTTGTTGGTCTTGCTTTTTTGAAAATTATTTTTCTTTATTCTTAGAGGTACATGCTGAGGAAACTGGAAAAGAGCATAAAAGTTAATCGGAAATTGGTCTCGGAAATCAATGTTTGATATGGAAACCAGATAAATGCGCTAATATTATTGATATATTTTTCAACAATTTCCAGTTTATAGCTCGCAAACAACATCAAAAATTTAACGTATATTAATGATTATACAATAAGTTTGCAATTCAGAATTGGCTTTAATAGTCAGTACACCGGTGGTTTTGTGGTCTAGCGGTATGATTTTCGCTTAGGGTGCGAGAGGTCCCGGGTTCAAGTCCCGGCAAAGCCCCTTTTTTTGCAGTCGCTATTTTTATTGTGCTAACATACGTTTGTTTTTTGTGTTTTCAATGTACTATTGCATTTTCGTTGAAGCTTAGTTATTATTCGGCTTTTTTTTTTTTTTTGTTGTTGGTGCTTTTGCTATTCTGTCTAAACGTTTTTATTTGGCGTCTACTGACACAAAACAATATTGCAACAATTAAAGCTTGTTTGGCCTTCCCAACCATATGTTAGCAGTAATATTAATGTGATGTTAGCGAAACAAATGCAAACTTTCTGAACAAACACGTCGCAGTAACTCAAATGCCAAAGCTCTTTCTGTGACACTCAATGCTGCCTGACTTATATCTCGGGCAACATGGATCAGCGTGACGCTTGTGCATAGATAAATACCCGGACCTGCGTGGTCCCAGAATAGCTTATTGCAATGCAGCACAGATGGTGCGCAGTTGACAGGGGAATACTTTGCAGAGACAAAGATCTACACCCGCTAATGCAAGATTTTAACAGGTAAAGAGTATGATGTGTTCCACTTGTGGTAGCTGATGTTGTGAGCGCAAAGAACTTTTGTTGTTGTTGTTGTTGTTGCTGTTATTGTGCACGGGTTTGCAATTAAGCCGAGAAGCTAAAGCCTGATTCACCTTCTGACCAATAGTGTTGGCGGTTTTCAGTGGTAATATTGCATTCTGTGGACCAAAGAAAATAAGCAGAAGGGGAAAGCAGGACAATGTATTCGACGTCACAAAGACTCTCAATACAGAAAATGGAAACGCTAAACAATTGCGGCCTTTGTTTGCAATGCCGCGTGCTGAAGACAGATGACATTCTTTCTCCGACGATAATGTGTTGCTTATTTGTCGCAGCCGGCGGTACATCTTTTTTTTTTTTTTACGGCAGTGTCTAATTGGTCTTGCCAGTAGAATGGTGCCAGTTTTATCTTCAGCGCAAAAAAAAAAAAAAAGCATGGTGCCTGTCTCTACTCTGGCTGAGCCACATGTCCGTCTGCGCTGCTCAAATATGGAGTGCACTGTGGACGGCCAGACTGCTCAGCATGCAAATGCATTGCGGCGCCTCTTCCGGATGACTGATAGAGCAAGGGCGCGCAAGATGCGCTGAAAGACACCGCTGTCATCCCTACACTCTACCTACCGACATATTCCAGAAAGAAAAAAGACAAGCATGATGTACAGAACGCGGCGGGCAAATGAATCGCATCACTGTGCGGAAGTGCAGATACAAAAAGTAGGCAAGCAGACATGTCTGGCTGGTTAATGGCAGGCGGCCCATTTACTACTCGCACACTTAGCTTACTACACATCCCCAAACCGAGACCATTCATTCCTGTCTGGCTTGTTGCATTTCTAAACTCAGCCGCACACCAACCACAGTACCCCCCCTCCCTCCCTCTACCACTTGTGTTCCTGAAGCCTGCGTGCTACAAAAGGCCCGCTCGCAGACCCGACATTTCCACCCGAGGAAATTTTTTTCAACTCCTTGGCATAGTTCCATTTCTGTTCAGTCTCTTTTTTCACTTCATTTCTCTTTTTCCTCTTCCTACTCCTTTCATTGGATATAGCTTGCTCTGTTGATCGGACAACCATATCTACACATTTACAAGACATACCCGCTCCCGCTCATTTCCTTTTAGCACACGAAATAGTAAAAAATAAGATATTGCAGAAATGGTCAAACTTTTTGGTTCCGTTGCTGTTGCTACATCGCTTCTGGTAAGCGCACTAGTATCTGCCGCCCCCATCGAGATGGTCCCCGAGCAGGCTCGTCGGGACTACCATGAGGTGAACACCAATTATTTACCTCAACCTACAAACCTTCCGCAGCTGGTGCATACAGTGACAAAGTTTATCTATGGCACCAATCATCCTACAGCTTACAACACACAGGAGCCTCCTAATTACTCGGTTAGCGAGCCTACGTCGCCATATTACTCGACAGTACCCTCCAACCCAATCGACGATTGGAAGTCGCAGATGCTTCAGCAAGTTAATACAATTCGCGCAGAGGTTGGTAAGGGGCCACTTACCATTGACGAACGCCTGAACTCGATGGCTCAAGCACATTCCAACTATCAGTCTTCTGCGTCCACAATGACACACTCTGACCCGTCTGGATCGCTGGGAAGCCGCTGCTCGCAGTACGGCATCGACTGGAGCGGTGTCGCAGAAAACGTTGCATGGAATTACAAGGATGTTACTGAAGTTGTTCAAGGATGGAAGGACAGCCCCGGTCACTACGAGAATATGATCGGCGACTACAACGCAGTTGGCTTTGGAGTCACCAACCTTTACTGGACCCAAGATTTTGCAAAGGTTTAACGCCCAACACTCACCATTCCGGAAATAGCTTTTTTTTTATCAATAGTTCTTTTTTGTTCGGTTTTGATATAAATGTCACTCTTATGAGCAATAATAGTTTTACCTCTATTGTTTGAAACCGTTTTGCTACGCAGTAGCATGCTGTACATTTGCGATGGCATGAAGAAAGTAATAGCATTAAACAGTGTTCCACTCCCCCCCCCACGTCTCTTGTAAAGGTTTTATCGATAAAGTTTTCTGCTGCATTGTACAGACAATTTGATTTTATTATTCGGTCTCTCTAAATAAGCAATTACTATAAAGAAAACTTGCGTGCTTTAAAACAAATTTTGAAGGACAAAACTATTAAAATGTTTTTGTTTACCAGAAGTGAAGTTTCGGATTCCGCATTAAAGCTATTGTAGTACAGTGGTAAGTGCACCACGTTGTGGCCGTGGAAACCCTGGTTCGATTCCAGGCAATGGCATAATTTTTAGTTTTTATTTTATTCGAATAGCTAGTAGGCGTCACGTGGGATATTTTTTAATTTCTTATTTACGTGGCTGCTTTTCTATTCTTTCTACCTGTCGCTCTTTTGCTACTCAAATTTGCGTACTCTTATTTTTTATTTAATTGTAAATTGGCTTTATATTTTTGCTACGGCGCATTGCTATACGTTTCACAATGGCTGCAGGTGTGAAAAGTAAGCTGTCCTTTTCTGGATTATTGCTACTTTGGGTTATTTGTAGTGCGTTGGCAATGTGCTGATTGCCTTGGTATATTCTTGCTATGCTTTTGCGCTAACTTTCTGTATGTATATATCCGTTTTAACCAATTTTTTGTATACTACACATGGCGGCGAACTTTGACGGTAACGGGAAATTCAAACATTTAGCGTAAGGTTGCTACTGGGAGCCGAGGGAGGACTGCGCTCGGACTGTACAATATTTGTGTGGCTAAAACTGCTTCTGAAGCATTTTTGGTTTGATTTTTTTTTCTATGCTTGTAGAATTGTGGTGTTGTCAATGTGTTTGGCGGCAGGGTTCCTGCTTTCAATACTGTCGTGTGCCTTGTACGGTAACTGGTGGCCACTAGTGGTTGTATTTACTTATGCGCTAGCGCCTGTACCAAATGCGATATTTGGACACTACGTCTCTTCAGATCCATTGGCAGATGTTAGCTCGTCAGTTGCAGATTTTGGGCGGTTTTTAACTGCGGTTTTGGTTGTTTCAGGTCTCGGACTACCGGTGGTATTGGCACATGCCGGAATCATCAGCTCGGTTGCCATGGTCATGAGCGTAACTGGTGGCGTTCTGGTATATGGAACGATTATTGCGTATGGGGCGCTGTTTCGGGAGCGTCAAGATTTTTGAAAACTGTGGGGTTGAGAACGATTCGCGTGTTCTGCTTAGGGTGTCTGCGCCAGCACCTGTTGTTTACTGGAGCCTTTTATTTTTACTTTTTCTTGTAACCCGGATTTTGCCGTGATTAGATGTATTTCTTAACTATCTTTGTATGGTTACCTTTTTGATGTGCTTCAATAATGTTGGTGTTGGACCGGGGTCTGCGAAATGCTGGTTTTGTGTAGTTTGCTTTAGCTTTCCGATTATAACATAACTTGGAACCTGCGTTAGTAGGAGTAGAGCCCGAGTTCGGCATGCTTAACTATCTGTAGGAAAACGTCACTCGAGCTGAGTTAATATATTGTACATGGTTTAAACGGGGTAAATGCACAACTGTATTTCCAATTGTAATATCTATAGTAGTGCTACCAGATGCCTTGATACTGTCAGCCTAAAAGGATGTCGTCAATGTGGGGGTTTTTTGCACTACAAACAACATAATTCAGTTTATTATGACGCCTTATATCACGCGTTTATCTGTTTGACTTGCATGCAAGTAATCGCAAGAAAGCAATGTCGTCTGATCGTACATGATGGTCCAAGCTTCAATTGAAGTGGGCTTGGCCAATGAATTGTCAGCGGAGACCGAGACCAAAAATAGTGCCGCTGCTCTAAAGTTTCTCTATTTCTTTCGACCAAAAAGGGAATCCTTTGTGTACGAAAAAAGCGTAAAGTATTACAGCAGCGGCTCTTTCCGGCACATGCTTCGAAGATCAGCTGGATACCATGAGAGGGAGTGTCAGTGACCACGTTTTTCTTTGTAGGTCGTGGTACAAGGAAAAGAACCCTTTTTTAGGATGTGCAGATTTACAAGGGAAGGATAGGCGCAACCTAGATCGCGGTGCATGTGTTTGCTATTTACTCCGCCTTTCCAAGAAACTGATGATATTGTCATGAGCATGTGCGTTTTAAACGCAGATCTGCAATATTTAGAATTCTCCTGTTTTTCCTGTCGGAGTAGTACATGCAAACAATAATCTTCCCTAAATCTGCAGCAATGCTGAGAATAAGGGGAGGATGTTTTGCAACGCCCAGCAGTGCTTCTTGTGGAGGATTGGCTTCAGCTGCACGCTTAGCCGATTCTCCCGCCCTTTCGCCTCGGCATCGGGATGTTTACAAAGAAGAAAAGGCGGCAAGTCTTTGAGAGCGGCAGCGTGCCGTTTCTTTCTCCCCAATTCTTCTGCTAAAAGAAATCCTTTGTAGGAGTGGTATCTTTGGCTAGGCGACAGGAGCCAGGAGAAGAGGCGGAGTAAGGGAGAGAGAGTCCAAGGTCAGTTGTCTTATTTTTCCCTTGCACAGAAAGGAAGGGCTCCTTTCTAAACATTCCAGCCCTGGGCTATTAGCCAATCGCTGTGCGTTAGAGCCAACCTTTCGTCAGAGCACTACGTTCAGACAAATGTTGGGCAGCAAAACGCGCGGATGCAATGCGAAGCAGGAAGGTGGAAGGTGAACAGCTGCAAATGCAGATGCACGCATTATAAAGGCGTGAAAGCGCGGCCGCTTCTCCTTTTCCCAGCCTTTTCCTTCTCCAGTCAACGCATCTTCCATTCCTTTTATTCTTTTACTGTTTAGCATCCAGGCATTATTCTCATCGGCATATCTCAGATCCTTTTTACCACTCACGGCACAAGCTGCATTTAAGCATATCCTTTTTGGCAGAGAAAACAACTTTATCATTTCAATACATTTTGGAAAAACAAGTTCCAAGATACTCCCCATCCTTGCACCTTGCATTCTGCATTTGGTACCAGATACATACATCTTCTCCAACCATTTTAATCTGTGCATTTGCCCAAAACCAGGCAGAGTAAACTATACTTTCATTTTTTCCGGATAATGGATTCGTTTCACTACATGTATCCTTCCAACCAGTTTGGTGGCAACCCAATGACCACTTCCATGGGTTATTCGACTCCCAACGGCACGCAGCAGTTGATGGGCACGCCTAGCGATCCCCAGCAACTGCCAATGATGTCACAGTACGGGCAGAGCCCGTTCCAGGCTAAGGCCTCGCCTGCAGCTCATCCGCAGAACTTTTCATCTCGCATTCCGGGCGACCACGAGAGCGCAATCTATTGCCACGACGCACGCAGCGGCGGAGTAACAGAACATCCAGTGCGGCAGATGGTGATGGGAGACGGAAGCGTGTTTGTCGAGCATATTCCCGGATACAGTCTGGTCTATGTGCCGAACAATGGGCCGATAGATCAGGTGTTGGGCGACATGTGCTCAGTGCCACGGTCAGGCATGAACACAGGAAAGACAGGGAACAATACACGTGCACCTCGTGAGCGCACGGGCAAACCAAGCAACTCCTTCATCATGTATCGCAACTTTAAGATTAAGGAGATGCGCGAGAAGGACCCGGCTGTTAACCAGATCGATATTTCGCGCATGGCAGGCAGTCTGTGGAAGAACGAGAGCGAGGAGGTCAAGGAACAGTTCCGCGCAAAATACCGCGAAGAGAAGCAGCGGTACGATATGAAGAAAACCATCAAGCGTGGGCGCAGCGACACCATCGGAACCATTGGCTCTGACGACGGTCTCGAGACAGACTTTTCTGAAAGAGTCAGCACACCAGGAAAGCGGCGCAAGAACGACAAGGGAGGCCTCGGACTTGGCCTCGGAGGCACGGGCACCACCAAGCCCCGCTCGCGCACAATGCCAGTCGACGCCTTTAACTCGTCTAACGCACGTGCAAACATCTTTTCAGATCTACGTAAGCAGGTTGCCGCACGCAGCGGCGCAGCGTTTTTGGACTCGTCGCCATTTGAGTCGCCACAGCTGCGCCAGGCGTATGCGGAGATGTCAGCATCCACAAACGCTCACAGCCCTATCCCGTCGATGATGAACGGCGCGTCTTACATGAACAGCGATCTTCCGCCACTAAACCTTGGCTCGGTCTCTGCATTCTCGAATGGCATGTCGGTCTCGGATCACGAAGCGGCACTCTACGCCAGTAGTCAAACGGGCGTCGACCCAGCATCGCTTGCACCGTCGGTTCAAGAAGACTTGACCAGCTCACTTGTCAACGCTGGTTTTGCTGCAGGCATTCGCATGAGTTTTGACGGCCAGGATTCTAATGATCATATCCACGGAGCTCATAACTCTATGCCCATGTCTCATGGCGCCAACGATATTGCGGCCGAGGCATCCATTGCTACCAGCAACATGATGGCAAGCAGCTTTTATGTAGATACCAGCGCGAGCGCAGCTCTTGATACTGACAGCACAATTGCTATGCACACACAGGCCTCGGCAGATCCGCAGTGGGGTCAGGCCAAGGGGCTTATCAACGACGCGCCGGGACCAGAGGCTCAGGCTCCTTCTGCTGAATCGACTTCGCCTGCGCCCTCAACAGCGACTCACAAGCTTGCTTATTCGGCAGATCCTATTAAATCCGCCACACCTGCCGATTCTACGTCGGATACGACAGCGACAGTACCAGCGGCGGCAGCAGCTACACCAGAGGTTTCGACAAACTGAGGATGCAAATGGTACACATCTAAAATCGATACTCTTGGTATGCAATGCTGTAATTTTCATGTTTTATTTATGACCTGTCTATTTTTTTATGTTTTTTTTATTTCTCTATGCGAGCAGGACTGAGTTGTCCGCTCTGCTAAAGCTCTTCTGTGTTCTTTCTAACAAATTCTAACTTCACACAATGTCTCCAAATCACGGTGCTTTTTAGAGAGTTGTGGGTATGAATAGTAACCACGTGAAAAAGGCGGTATCGCAAACTGTAATTTGCAAAAGTATTGGTGTTGGCACAAACCTGCTGGTCCAACTCCCGCCCAAATAATCTTTAAGCGCTAATAGTTTTGCAAAATATAGTAATCCTTTTCTTGTATGCTTTAACTGCTGGTTTACATTTTCTGCGTCCGCATTAGCTTTTCGATACCTTGGCTCGGATTGCATAGGCTTGCTTACGCCGTTTCTTTATTTTGCAGACAAGCTCTGAGATGGAGGTTAATCGCGATGAGGCAGCCAGAGCGCTTTTAATTGCACAGAGCAAATGGCAAAGCGGCGACAAAGCTGGGGCGCTCCGTCTGGCGCGCAAGTCGCATTCCCTGTATCCAAC